ACCTTCTCCATACCAGCTGCGCTATTTCATTTCCTCATTTGTGTGTTCACTGAAGAAACTTTTTGAAGGAGACCACCTTAAGATGGTGTTGAGCAGGATTATTACAATTAGCTAATACTTATAATTCAGAGCTGGTGTAAGGTTTAAGGGCACAGCTGCTTAAGTGCAGCTGCATGCAGATAAAGAACTCTACATGGCACTGGCCACAGCTGAGACTAACCCAGGTCAATGACATTGTGGCACCTATACTAGCTGATAGCATCTGCAGCTGAAGGCCCCATGATTATTGCTCATCCTCTATCAAAAGTTAACATTAATCTAGGGAAAGAACAAATTCCCATTAACGTAAGATTTACTTCTTGCAAGAATGCTTTGTTCTGTTCCTGCTAGGCCTCGCTCACATCAGCACCTCTGATTACCACCTCACATACCTGACCATATGCCCCTTTGCTGCTTTGTGTTCAATAAATACTTGCAAGTCCAGAAGTTCAGGGTCTCTGCTCAATAGAAAGGCCTCATTTCTTTTACCATTTGTCTTTGTCTTCATTCTGAGTCATGTACCTAATTGAGGATCAGGGACCTCATTTAGGGCTCCCCAATATTTTTCTTTTTCTTCTTTTTTGTTTGTTTGTTTGTTTGTTGAGACAGGGTCTCATTTTGTAGCGCAGATTGGCCCTGAACTCACTATGTAGCCCAGGCTGCCCTTGAACTCATGGCAATCCTCCTGCCTCAGGCTCCCAAATACTGGGATTATAGGGGTGCGCTACCATGCCCCACTCAGTAACTTTCCTTTTAAAACATTTCCTTTGCACTGAAAACATGGCTGAATATCTAGCACAAAATGCGTAGCTTCTGGCCTATCTCAGCTTTCAAAATGCTTTCCCCTCTAAGCTTACTTATTCTTAGCTTTTTTTTTTTTTTTTTTTTTTTTTTTTTTTTTTTTTTTTTTCTGCCTTTGCTGAGCATCAAGCCAGAGCCTTGCACACACTAGGCTAGCATTCTACTACTGAGCTAGACCATAAGCCTAGCTTTTGGTTTAAAGTGAAAGATGAGCAACTCTGCCTTTTACATGAACACTTAGCAGTCACTGTAGGGTTTTTATCTGCCCTAATTTCAATATTGTTTTATCAGGGAATAGAGGCCTAAGGAGAGGGAAATTGACAAATGATTTATTGAGAATGAACAAAACACTAATTAATCAAGTTTGCTGTCTCATTTAGATGCAATTTGTGGATCCCCAAAACAGTTTCAATAATAACATCAAAAACCACTGATCAGGGGTCAGGGATTTAGCTCAGCGGTTTGGTGGCCTGCCTTGCAAGTGCAAGGACCTGAGTTCAATCCCTGGTACCAAAAAAAAACCCACTGATCAGGACATGGGGATGTAGCTCAGTGGTAGAGCACTTGCCTAGCAGGTACATGGTAGCGAGTTCCATCCCAGGCCAGCAAAAAAAAAAAAAAAAAAAAAATGAAAGAAAGAAAAAGAAAAAAAAGTATAGCAATGTACATGATCACCACAACAGATAAAATAAAAAAGGTTGAGATATTGTGAATATTACCAAAATATGACACAGAGACATAAACTAAGCACAAGCTACTGGAAAACCAGAGCTAATAAACTTGCTTAATGTCGGCTTGACATCCCTTTTAATTTGTTAATAAGACACTATACTGTATCTGCAAAGCACAATAATGCAAAGAGTAAAAGTCAAGGTATGCATGTGTTAGATCATCAGTAGTAATAAATGTAACACACTAAAGCAAAATGTCAAAAAGAGAAACTTTGGATCCCAGGGATAGAGGAAAAGTAGATATACAGGACCTCTGTTTATTCTCCTCCAGTTTTTCAGTAAATCTAAAATTACTGCAAAAATTAAAAGCTGCAGCTAAAAGGATATAGTTCCATGGTAGAGCACTTGCCCAGCCTGCAAAAAGCCCTGAATTCAATACCAAGGACCTCAAAAAAATAAACACATAAAGTATATTACTTTAAAAAAAAATAAACTAACAGTATTAGCAAAACCACAGAGCATCTTGAACTTTCATTGATTCTTCTTGAAATGGTACACACACTCTGGAAAAATTTAGCGATTCAATATATAGTTGCCATATAATCCAAAAACTCCACTCCTAGGTATTTACCCTAGAGAAATAAAACAAGCTCACACAAAAATCTGTATGCAAATATTATAGCAACTTTATGCATAATTACCAGATGTTAGACATGACACCTTCAAAGGGGGTATGGATAAATCTCAAAGACATTATATTGAATGAAAAAGATAATGTCAAAACATTACATACTGTTTGAATGCATTTATGTGGCATTCTGGAAAACACAGAATTAAGTATGCAAAAGAACAGAGTTGGTAGAGATTTGGGGTTAGGGGAGGAATTAACTACAAAGGAGACAGAATAACAGAATTTTCTGGAGTAATGGAACATGTTCAATATCTTAATTATATGACTCAGAGTAGATCTATACACAAATATATATGTGTAAATGCATCTTTATTATGGTTATAGTTGAACAGTATGTAACATTTGACAAGACAGAGAACACTTTAAAGGGATGGATTTAATTGAATGTATATTAATCCTCAATAAAATTTATTTTTATAGACACTTCACAAGTACAAATGGCCAACTGGGGATTTAGCTCAGTGCCACTGCACCTTCCTCACAAGTGCAAGGTCCTGAATTCAATCCCCAGTACCAAAACAAAAAACAAACAAAACAAGTACAAATGGACAATAAATACATGAATAAATGCTCAATATCGCAGGCTATTAGAGAACTACAAATTACAACAACACTGAGATTCCATCTTGGTCCAGAAAGAGTGGACACCATCAAGAAATCAAATAATAACAAATGCTGAAGAGGCATCAGGGGCCAAAGGAACCCTTCTAACACTGTTAGTGGTACTGTAAACTAATACAACCGCTATATAAATCAGTATGCAGTTTCCTCCAAAACTAAAACTAGAAATTCCATTTGATCCATCTATTCCCCTTTTAAGTATGTTCCTGAAAGAGATAAAGAATCATATTACGGATCAAAAAATGTTGAGATTCCATCTCACTCCAGAAAGAATGGCTATTATCAAGAAATCAACCAATAACAAATGCTGGACGGGTTGTGGAGAAAAAGGAATCCTTCTTCACTGTTGGTGGGAATGTGCACTGGTCCAACCACTGTGAAAATCAATGTAGAGACTCCTCAAAAGCTAAAACTATAGGTTCCACTTGACACAGCTCTCTCCTTGGTATCGTCCCAAAAGAATTAAAAGCATCACACCACAGTGATATATGCACACCCACGTTTATATTGGCACAGTTTGTAATACCTAAATTTTAGAAACAGCCCAAATGCCTATCAACCAACTAATGAATAGAGAAGATGTAGTTTTGTAATACAATGGAGTACTACTCTGCCATAAAGAAAGATAAGCTTGAGTCATTTCCAGCTAAATGGATGCACTTTGAGACCATACTGCCAAATGAGATAAATCATATGTTTAGGTACAGCATTTTTTCTTGGTATGAGAAACCAAAAATGGAAATAAGGACCAAAATATATAATAGATATTGAAAAATGAGAAGAAAATATTCAAATGAGAAAGGGAACAAGGAGGAGGGACAAGAAAAAAAGAGAATAGAAGGAAAAAAATGGAAACAAAGCTTTTGTAAATAAGGAGGGGAAGAGGAATATAAGGGAGGGGAGAGGAATGGGAAAAAATAAGCAAGACATATTATGTGCAAATTCCCCATGTTGAATGTTACCATTACGTATATCTAATATGTACCAATAAATGTCTTGTTTACAAAAAGTAAAATTTAATTTAAAAAATTGAAAAGTGCTTTATTTTGGAAAAAGAAAGGGGTAGGGATGTAGTTATGTAGTATGAAGCCCCTGGGTTTAATCTCCTGTACCAGAAAAAACAAGTGGTAATAAAGTTTACACTGATTTCATATGTATGGAGCTCTAATCCAATAGGACTGGTGTCTTTATTGGATACATTCATACAGACAAAAGGCCAAGTGGGAACATAGCAAAATGATAACTATCTGCAAGCCAATGAAAGAGTTCAGGAGAAGCCAACCCTGACATAACATTTATTTTTAATTTCTAGACTCTAAAGTCATGACAAAATGATTTCTGTTGCTTATGCCACCCAATCTGATTTTGTTATAGCATCCCTAGCAAACTAATCCAGCTACAAATGAAGAAACTGGAAATTTTTTAGAAAATTTCTGTTTTAAAAATTGACCAGAGCCAGGTATAGTGGCACACTCCTGTAACAAGAGGAGGCAGGAGGGTTGTGAGCTCAAGGCCAGCTTGGGCTACACACCAAGTTCAAGGCCAGCATGGACTACACAAGATCCTGGGTCAAAAAAACCCACATCTCCAGCAGTTACTCTACACAAGAGAAAATATAAAGTACCATATTAAAAAGCCACTGTTGGGCTGGAGATTTAGCTCAGTGGCACCGCACCTGCCCTTTTTTTTTGGTACTGAGTTTAAACCCCAGTACCAAAAAAAAAAAAAAAAGCTACTATTAAGTCTTATTCATCCAAGCCCTAGAATAATACCAATGACAGTAATATTATGGTTCACATTTATAATCAAAATATCATTTGAAATATAGCTACAGCATGCATTGAGATACTTTCTCAAACTTAACATATAGGTAAAGAATAAAAGCACAAATGACTCTCCTAAGCTTAAAATTTTAGTAATCCTAAAATATAATTTATTTTATAATACTGAGATTTTAAACTTCATGAAGAAATCAAGCATGCATAATAGGTATACTTAGATTTAAATTGGAGACAACCCTAACCTCAAAGCCTTATGTCAACATATTAAAATAAACAAATTTAAAATCTACAATTAAATAATATAAAAAAACACAAGAAAATAAAAATTCATTTTACTAAAATATTTTAAATATACCAAGTAAAACTATATAATTAGAAGAAGTTTATTTTATTTACCCCCTGCAAAGGGATATCCCAGTGTTCTGAGCTTCCGAATTTGGACAGTGGTAACTGAACATGAACATCCTCTGGCTTTACATTTAACATCTTTCTTATCTGAAACTAGGATGAGAAAATAATCAGTTTTATTGAAATATATATATAAGAATTGAATCAGCTAGCAGAACCATTACATTACCCTGGATTAATAGTTTGCTAATAGTTTTAAAGTTTTTAATTCATTGTTTAACTTATAGGCAATTAAATACCATTTTATTCTAAAATCTCTCACTGAGAAAAAGGTAGGTTTGAAGAATAAGAACAGCTTCCAATCTTTTCTCTTGCTTCTGATCTCTTTCCCTTTTAATTTTACAAATATAAACTACAGAGTTCTCTAACACATAAAGCTAACTATGGCTGAGATACTTAAAATACAACAATGGCACCCACTGTCTACATATAAAATTCTTTACATTTTGGACATCTTCACATCAACCACACATTAAAACACTCAACAACACAACTTTGTGCAGTTACTAAACTCTCTTCAGATATGTCATATTATATCTCTAGATCTGTGTATATGCTCTTCTAGAATTCCTTTAACTAGAATGTCCTTCCTTCTATTTCTCCCTTGTGAAGTATTCCAGACTCAGTAAATCACTCTCTTACCCACATAAGTACCACCTTCACAAAGGTATCCCTTTCTCTGAGTATTAGTACTAGGTACATTTGTATTACTCATATTACAGATACCATACTAAATTGTAGTTATTTATCTGCATGCCTGTCTTCTCCAGAGCTTCTTAAAGAGAAGGGTTCTGACTTACTCATTTTTGTATCTCCAAAGTATGTGATTTATGATAAGCTCAATAAATAAGCATGGATTTTAAACACAAGTTTGAGATCATTTTTTTAAACTTAACTGTCTTTTACATTAACATAATTACAAATCATGGTTAAACTTAAAATTCTGCATACAAAGCAAATATGTAAGTCATACTTGGGAAGGGGTACAGCTGAGTGGTTGAGCACCTACTTAGTGAAAAGCAGCCCTGGTACCATCTCTTCCCAAAAATCATTACATTAACTACAACTAGTAACAATCAATAAAATTACTTCTATGAAAAGCAAACCTAACCAAGATATATCACGTAAAGGTAAGAGTTCCCAATGATTAATGTCATCATGTTGTATACTTAAAATGTACCAATAAACTTAATGAATAGAAAAAAAGAAAAAGAAAAGCAAACCTAAATCAGATGGACAAAATAAATTTAAGAAGGGATACTAGTACCAGTAACTTTTTAACTGTTTTTGATTATATTTTATTAAATGGCATATCTTTATAATGCTTCACCTGCACAATACAATATTATCTCTAAATCAATCATTTGCCTTATATCTTTTTTTTTGAGGGGAGGGGTTTGAGATAGGGTCTTGCTTTGTAGTACAGGTTGGCCTTTAACTTATTATGTAGCCCAAGTAGGCCATGAACTCATGGTGATCCTCCTGCCTCAGCTTCCCAAGTGCTGAGATTATAGATGTGCAACATCACACCCAGCCAACATGCAATTATTAAAGAAAAGAGTAAAAAGTATTTAAATCTCCCGAAAAACCTCTGTAGTATTAGTAACCTCAATTTATTATTGCAGATCTAAATTTTTCATTTCAGCATCATGTATGTAGGGCAAACAAATTTCAGGCTCAACTATTGTTCTTTGCTTTGTTTTGTTTATTTAGATAGGGTCTCACTATGTATTTCAGGCTGGCCTAGAACCACTATGTAGCCAGGCTGGCCTCTAACTTGGGGACATCCTCCTGCTTCACCCTTTCTAGTGCTGGGATTAAGGTATGAACTACTACTACCACGCCTAGCTAGCTGCAGCTATTTTATTGCCCACTTTTCACATACTCTTTTCTTAATGACTAACTCATCAAAAATTATATAAGCCTGTTGAAATTATCTGATCTATGCTCAGATAATTTTTATTTTACTTTATTGTATTTATTTTAAGCACCAGCAATTGAACGCAGGGCATCGTGTACAGTAACCACATGTTCTACCACTGAGCTACACTCCCAGCCCTTCAGATAAATTTTAATTATGGTTTCAACTGTATACAATTAAAGATTTTTTTTTTTTTTTTTTT